AATTTATGCAGCTCATTTACACACTTTTCCTGAAGATAGAAGAGTTTGTTGAATCTGACGTGACATGTTCGTACGAACCCTTTGTACGAACGAAAAATAAATCTGTTCTATTTTTCTTATAAAAGGCTAAATAAAACAAAAATATTGGTGGTAATTTTTGACTGTATAACTTTACAAACAGCAGCCCGTATAATTCAGTCTTACAGATATTAAGCTAAAGGTTGGTGGTAGCTGAGGGTCATCCTAACGCAGTAACAGATCAGTGGTATACATTTCTATGTTAAGTCTTTAGTTTGCTCTCTTTCTGACCCCACAGGAAGAGAAGAATCCTCTTCTGTGATTGGTGCCATGGATTCAGTCCCTGTTGGTGGTCTCCATTGTGACCAGATGAATAAAACAGTGAAACATTATGAGTCTGTGAGTTTCACAGTGCAAAACAATGTTGTCAAAACAAGTCAAAGGCCGCAGAATGTCCCAACGTACGTCCAGAACCTGAAAGAGGGGTCTTCACCAGCAGGGTGTGTCTGGACCAGGACTCATCAGAGGCGATGGACTGTTGACTTCAGTCAACATAAAACCTTAACTGTCATCATTGTGGAGAAAACCATGAAGAAACCACAGCCCCCACAGAGAGACACTTCCCTTCTGCGCCCCCAACCAGTACCACCTCCCTCATTCAAGAGGTCCTCGTGTCCTTCAGCTAAGACCTTCAGTCCATCATCCACTGCTGCCACTTGTTTTTCACCTCCTTCTCTCCCCACGTCCATCATCACTGGCCACGATCCACTTGGTTGGAAGTTACAACCAAAATCCCGTGAGCGCACCAAAAGGCTGTCTTTACAAACCCCCCTACCTGAAGTCCAGACTCCCAGCTGTCCAAACCCAGAGACTTCATCAAGACCAGCCTTCAGACCCAAACCTCCTCGACGTCGCCACTCTGAACCCACGGCCTTCCTTAAATCCCTGAAGGCTCTGCCTGTTCTGAATCCTGAGGAACTGCGCTCTGTGCTCCTCCGACCCGTCACCCTCTCAGATGAACCGGATGATGTCTTCGATCAGGGGACAGGACAGCAGGGCAGTGGGTCTGCCCCGCTACACAAAATACCCCCACCTGTTCCAGAGAAAACAGCCACGGCAAGACGACGAGCACATCTGATCGCTTCCTCACAGCAGACCCATCACTAAGAGCGCTAATATGGATTGTCTTTTAGTGTGAATGCTGAGTCACCAATGTTTTATATTTTTATAGTGTTTTCTGTACTTTTATGGACTGTACCTATTCTGCATAACTGTAGCTTTTTCAACCATTCAGATACAAAATATTTAGCTTCTACAGGACCAAACAGCTATAAAACGTCTATACTTTACTGCAATATTCAGCTTTGTGAACTGTTTTATGCTCAGTTAAATGAACTGGGATCTTTTCAAAAACTCCTGCTTTATTTGTATTTACTTCTGCTCCAACTGTCTCCTGATCCATGCTTTTCTTTGTTGTCTTTATGTCTGATTTCTTTTTCTGTCCCTTGATTTGTCTCCTCACCTGCTTTCATGAAGCCCTGCTGTGTGCAGCTTTTCTCCATCAGGTTTATGGGGTGACGTTTGTAAAGTTACACAGTCAAAAATTACCACCAATATTTGTGTTTTATTTATCCTTTTATAAGAAAAAAGAACAGATTTATTTTTCAAAGTCAGTTTTTCACCACATGATTCATACATTTATAAATGTCATAG